TTTCATGATGTCGTACTACACACTATAAGAATTTGAAAGAAGGTATGCTAAAGACACATTTTAAGGGATTTATCTTAAGAATATATAGACATTATCATTCAAATACAATTCTCAAGTCATATAAGTTAACTTTTTCCTTTACTTTTAATGATCAAGTCATCAACATAGCACTCAACTTATTCAACTATAAGCTCATCAAAGATTTTTCATGGCTTGTTGATATGTGAAACCATCAATTTTCAGACCGAAGGGCATAATCGCATAACAATAAACTCTGATCGGCATCTGGAATGCAGTAGTTTTCTCATCTTTTAAAACTATTTTGATTTGATCATAACTCGAAGAACCATCCATAAACATGAATATCACGTGCGTTGAGGCAATATCCGCCATTAAATCTGGAACGAGCGATGGAAATTCATCTTAAGGACACACATTATTTAAGTCTCGAAAGTTCATGCATACACGAATTTGGTAATTATTTTTCTTGACTGGTATGACACTAGCCAAACAATTGGGATACTTCTTCTCTTGGATGAAACCAGATTCAATCAAATTTTTAATTTCAGTGGTTGCTTGATTTTTGATTTCTAATCTCGTTCATATAGGAGCTTGTTTGACTTTTATAACACCAATTTGTATTTCTAATTTATGAACTGCACTTCAGGAGATAATTCTAACATCTCTCATAACTCCAGGCAAACCATTTTTTATACTCCACAAGTAATTTGAGTAGGTGAGAGGTTTCTTGCACATTTAGAGGAGAACTTACAAAAGTTGGCTTAAGATTACCATTAGTTTCCAGATTCACATCTTTTAACTCATTAATAATTATTTAATTTCTTCTTCACGTTTAAGGGGTATATCCTTGACTGGAAAGTCATTCAAATCATCCAAAGTTTATGGACATATTGGTGATAGTGAACCCTACACGGCCTCATGTCTTATCTCTTTTATATGCAGTGCCCCGAAGGTCTGCAAAGTGGTGTTATTGCTTTTTAGGCTAAATATGTAGTATCAAATCTTGTTTTACCAATTTAGGAACACTAGGTGAATAACAATCAAAGGGTAATTCCCTAATTCATTAGAATCGTTGTCTTCAAGTTTTACTTTACATTTCAAGCTTGAAGAAGAAGACCCTTGATAGAATTTTTTCTTTGATAGCCATCTAATTGGGAAGTAACCTTAGCTTATGTAGCCACAGTCTCTGAAGATAGCGATGTTAGATTTAAAGTATGAACATACTAGTTGATCTTCTCATATAGTAATGACTCAAATTTGGCCTTATTTGCAGTTGTTCTTCCTTTTTATGTATTGCCTATTCCAAAGATTTCTCCTAGAGAGCAGATTATCCTACAATGTCTGACTCATACTCTGAATTGGATTCTAAGTCAATTTACATAAAAGGGATTTCGTTCCTTATATTCAATTTTCTTCAGTAGTTGTTCATAGTTCCATCACCCCCATGTGGATTTCAACAAGTAGGAATTTTGGAATATGACTTAGGGTACATCTTCATCTTTTAATGATATTTCTTTTTTTTTCTTTTTCACATTTTTTTGGTTATTGCCACTTATTTTTCTTTTTTCACTTTAGTGGCATTTTCATTTTTGTTTTTCAGTCGCTTCCTTTTCAAAATTTTCTTTTGTGACTTCATCTTTTTTCTTTATTTTCTTTCTTCCCCATGTCTTTAATTACAAGTATCTCTATAGAAAAGATAATTTAATTCTTTGGCATATAGTAAGTTGCAGCTTCATAAATTATAATCTCATGAAGAGAGAATTGTTGTAGATCACCTTTAATACATTATTAAATACCATTACAAAAGTATTTAATACATTGGTGAATGGACAATGACATCATTCAGTGTTCATGAAGCCAAGGTCTTCCAAGGAGAGCATTAAAACGCATCTCTAAGTCTGTAATATGAAATTTTGCTTCAGCTTGAAAAACTCTAATCTTGAGTAGGAGAGTTATCAAAACTAGCAGTATTTCACCTTTCTAATGAAAATCACATTTTTTGTTTATTGCCACTTATTTATTTCTGCATCAAAATATGTGAGGGTTCTTAAATTCATTAGATTGACCAATGCACCCAAATCAAAGATAACTGTGGATAACCGAAACTATCCTATGTTTACATTGATATAAAGTAGTTGGTTAGGATCAGTTGTCCCCAATAAAAGGTCATCATTAGTGAATGTTAGTTTGGAAACTTCATCGAAGTGATTTACTTCTCCATCTAGGGTGACAGATGTCAATTTAGGCATATAAATTTTACGGTCCTTTGTGGCTTTAATCAATGACTATCTCATCTCTTTGGACAAGATAAGGGTGTTGTAAATACTAAGCTTGGTAGGTAATTTCCTTAGAAGAGACAACACATTGTAAACAACTTTAAACAAAGCCACTACAAGAGTATCCTAAGTAGGATAAGCTGTGGAAATACCGTAGGTTGATCGGGAACGATGACTTGTGTAGTCATTTTTGTAGGCAAATCACGTGGTGGAAGTACTTTGCCACTTCAGAGGTTGACTTCCAGAACATCTTTAGCAGAATTTGGCATGGCTTCAATAAATGGTTTTGTAGTATTTTGAGTTTCTTCTTGAGATGTTTCAAAATCGAATGGTTCCAACTCAATTCTAATAGTCGTACGCTTAAAGCTTAGGATAGGGGTATCACCTTCAGAAAAGGAGTCATCACTTTCATGAGTTTTTTTTTTATATATATATATATATATATTCTTTTATGACTTGAGACTTACTACTATTACTATTATTATTATTATTATTATTATTATTATTATTATTATTATTATTATTAGATTCATTGGGGTTTTCACAGGTATTTGAATTATTACTTGAGTTAACCGACAAAGATTCATTAGAAATATACAAGATATAACCAGAACCACTATTTATTTTATCATTGGTCTCAGAGGGACAAAAATAAAAGTTAGCGCGAAACAAAACCCAAAAAGTTTTGAAATTAGGTTCTAAGTAACATAATTATAATAAAACATCAATTAAACCCAAATTCTAATTCAAAATAAAAGAAAATAGAGCCCACAAGAACGAGTGGCCAAACGGGCAAGTAAATTCCAGTACCACATCCCCTCCCGCCTAAGCGAGACTATCTCATGTCAGTAATATTCTTTCTAATTTTTTTTTCAATTAATGTGTCACTATATCTATTAATATTTTATTTTGCTAGCAACTCTCTGCATGTAAAGATTGCTCATTATACTTAAAAAATGATAATGGTTTAGTCCTTGACATAAATGGAAGCTATAAATGAAGCGGTTCATCACTTACATGTGGTTGTTTATATTGGTCTTATTATACTTATATAAAGTTTTATTAAGCCTTTTATACTCTTAGGGTGAATCAATTTCTACAGTTACTTCATTATAAATTAGATAAAATTGCTCATAAAACAAGCAATGACCACCACCATGCCATCACCCCCAATAAATGCAAACTCTTATGATTTATAATAATAATAGTAGTAATAATAAACAATAATAATAAAAATAAGAACAACTCCCATCTAACTGCTTCCCACTAGAGTTGTAAACGAGCCAAGCTTGAGTAAGCTCAGGCTTGGCTCGTGTTCGGCTTGTTTGAAATTTTTTCTATCTGAAATTGGCTCATGTTCAAAATTGCTTGTGAACAGTGTGTTCGTGTTCAACTCAATTTACATATTCTTTTTCATGTTTAGCTCGTGTTCAGCTTGAATTGGCTCATTTAAATTAATTAAAAAAATAGATGTAGGTCGTTGAATTCAAACCTACACCATTTATATACAATAAAAAGCACTGAACAACATGACAACTGTGGTGATTTAAACATAGATATAAATATATAGAATATATTATTATATAAATAATAATATAATTTCCTTAGTTTGAGCTAAAATGAGCGGAACCTGACCGAACAAAAGGTTATTCGTTTTCAGCCCATTTATAATTTGAGTTTGAAAATTTTATTTCTGTTCAACTCGCTTAATGAAAGATTTGAGCACGAGTTATTATCAGGCCAAACACAAGTTGTTCAAGAACAAGAAGCATTTTTGACCGCCCTACTTCCTACCCCACCATTCATGAGCATGTAAAGCTCCCTTGACTGAGAAATGGAGCAAGTTAACTATCATATTCTTTGGTTCTTCAAGAATTCAGAGAAGGGATTAGCCTCCCTTCTCTCTTTATTTCAGTAAAATAAAGACACCGTAATGGCCTTCATCCATCCTCTCTGTCAAAGTTTTGAAGAACAGCAGAACAAAGATACATTTACCAAGAATTCACATTAAGTCCATATTTCAACTTGGGTATTCAAAAACAGTAAATGCTCCTCCAGCTTGCTTTACCTTCAAATTTCACTCATCAGCTAAAACAACCATTTTTTTAACATAATACTAAGGCGAGCTGGAAACCAAGCACACTAGACCTCAGTTTTAATGGAACAAGGCTTGATTCATACTCTAAAGCTAAGAATCCATCAGGGTCACGATACTTTTTATTAGAAAGCATCATAAGATTTAGTAGAAGATTTTTCTATTTATTATGTTGCCTTTTCTGTTTTTTTTTAATATATATTTTCTATATTATGCCTTTCCCTTATATCTATTGGGTGTTATTAGAAAAAAATTGGGTACTATATCTTTCCTTTTCTATACCCTTGTAGCATGTATTTATATCAGTTTTTCTACTCAATAAGATTACGCCGCGCCGTTATTAAATCTAACACTTTTAAATTAGTACCGAAATGTATTAATGCCATATAAAAGTATGAACTCAAATCTAAAAACGAGCTGTGGAAAAACAAATACTTATATGTTAAGATAAAAACTGGTTCCCAAGCTTATACAGGCTTCATTTTTGTGATGTCTACATACAAAAAAGACCCAATCAAGGGGGGTCATCTAGTCCATAACCAACTGAAAAATGCATAACGAGCTACAATTTTAACATTAATAAAAAAGAAGGAGATAAAATAGATTACCTGAAGAGAGAGCGAACGGCTTCAAGAATTTTATGCTTCTTCAGTTCTCCATCTACTTCAGAATGCGCTCGCATAAGTAAGCAAAACCCCAAAAGATGAAGACGCTTGCACAAGCCACTATCGCCATGCCAAGAACTTAAGGACACCTTTGCCTTATTAGAATAGGCATCTAGTATAAGAAATAGATTCTATTAAAAAAGGGGATTCAGGTCAGTTGCTTAAAAAAATCATACTTAAGCCTAGTATATATAGATTATTGAATATAAAAATAAGTCACCTCAGCGGCTTCATACTGTCCATGTCTAAGCAGAAGGGAAGCTAACTCGATAATGGGTATAGATGCGATTGAAGACTCATTACCAGAAACTCCCCGCACAACCAAGCTGGTAAACTTCCAAACAGACTGGATGAGCTTGTCGGTACTCAAAAATGATTTTAAAAAGTTTGTTTCACCTTCAGAGAAGCATGGAAAACCAAGCAAAAGAGCCAATGTACAGCCAGACGAAGAGAGCTTTCCATCCCACTGTCTTTTGTCAGCTTTGCTACCTAGATTTATGAGAAAGAAGTATCAGCAAGTGATTCTACAAAAACATAATATACCAAGACTACTGAGAACCAACTTGTCAGAAATCTGACACGGTAGCTAACTTCCACATCCTGCAGAATCCCGCAGATTCTGTGCTCCTGCAATCGGGGGATGGGGTCGGGCGTGAGTCCCAGCCCGTGAAAGCTGCTTTGTGAGATATTCTGCCCCCTTATCAAACTCAACGCAATTTTTTTCTCTTCTAGCCTTATTTCCTATTCCTTTTTTTCTAATTAGATTTATTTCTACAGAAGAGACTATTTATATGTTTGTTTGTTTTTTTAAGGGACTTTTGCCATTGTTTCTGTGTTTGGAGACATTTTCTATTTTTGACTCTTCGGAGTGTTGTATTCTTTACTTTTGCAAGTGATGTGTCTACATCTTTCTCGGGAATAGGTGGTGGAACCTCCTTGTTATACAATCCGGTGTCAAATTCACACGTTTTTCCACAAAAAATAAGGCAAACACAATATTTCTTTAACAATCCAAATACTTCAACAAGAATACAATGACAAACACCTACAATTTGAGAGGTAGGTGATGACTCCCAATTCCTACAATTTGAGAGATAGAAAATCTCTCCCAAACCCTAAACCTAAGACTCACAACTCAATCTCATGCATAGCGTTAACCGTAGACATAACAAGTCTATTCATACCAAACAAGAATAATAATAATAAAATAATAAATTGCCCTTAGGCATAGAAAAGACAAATTTGCCCCTTGGATTAGGCATCCACATAACAATACCCCCCCTTCCTCAAAGCACATTATCCTCAAAGTGGGAAAAAGTGAGAGTGTTCCTCCTCGCCCACAATTATCTCTATTTCTTCATTCTCAGCCTTCTCGTCATGCACTATGAGAACTTGTAATTTTCGATCCTTGCAACGATGTCGGATAAATATCTCATCACACTGAAAACATAACATATTGGTTCGCTTTTCTCCCAAATTCCTGCCTCTATAAGGTTCTTGAGTGTTGCTCCCGGTCGTAGTCCATTCATGCAGCCCCCTCTAAACTTCTACTATTTGAGCATTTAGTATCATCATAGTTGTAGCAGTTCGGTACAGTGTTGCTCTTGTTGGCCTTCTTCATCTGATTCTTGCCCTCTACCTTTGAGCTAGCTCCATTATCTCCCTTAATCTCCGTAATCTCAATAGTGAGAGTGACGCTTGTATGTTGGGTTTTAGGCCCTTCATGAAATTTTCCTCCAATCTTGTTTCAGAAATCCCGCTCAACCATTCGACAATAGCTCAAATCTCTTCAATATTCTATGGCAGTTCCCTCCTAAGCCAAGGCACAAAATTGCAAGTGTATGCCTCTTTCTTGAATTACTCGAAAACATTATAATAAACAATTCATGAGTTTTTCTCACGAATGAATCGAATATCTAGCCTCCCTCCAGTTAAACCAGGCTAGAGTTTTACCTTCCAAACATAGTCCTGCCACCATGTGTTTCTCCTCCCCATCTAATCTATTCACCGCGAAGTATCACTCCGATTGATACACCCAACCATGTGTGTCTTCCCCCTTGAAGATCGGCATCTTCAACTTCCTAATTCTAATATCTCCACCCCAATATCTTCTAACTTGTTTCTCCCCATATATCGAGAATAAAACTCCCTCCTTCAATCGAAGCCATATCCCCTCCCTGATTCTCTTCTTTCTTCTTTGTGTTTCACCATACTTCTTACATAATCTTTTCTCCATATTTCAGCCCAATCGCCTCCATCAGAAATCTCTACTTGACCCCTAATTGGAGCCCTGGGAGGGGGCTCGTGATAGTGGATGTTTTCCTCATGTTCCTTACGTTCGATCTTATTTCCTTTGGTTTTGCAAATTGAGCCGTCGGCGGGGTCATGGATTGCATCTCAATGAACAACTATAACGTCTCTCGAATTTTCCCCATACTCTCAAATCAGTCCTTCATTCGGTTCTCCAAGGAAGAAAATCGGTCCTCTTTTGTAGCGAAATTTCTTCCATCACAGATCTGATTTGACTAATCTCTTTCTCCAATTTATTCTCCAAATCATCTACTTTCTTTGTTGTCATCTCTTCCAGAAAATTTTTCAATCCCAAAGGCAAAAAATTTTTATACCCGAAAATCTCGTCATCTATTTAATCTTATCTAGTCAAATTAATATTAACCTAAAATATCTTCTTGAATTAGCATAAAATTTTATATATCCTAAAATATTTTCTAATTAATTTAATAGTCTAATCAACCTAAAACATTTCCAGTCCAATTAACTTAATACTCTAACCAATCTAAAAATATTCTCTAACAAATTAAATAAATAATTTAAAAAAAAAGGGAAAGGAAGGGGAACAAGTGTAAGCATCCGTGCATATGAGTGTTTCATGCATGTGTATATGTTTAAGTATATTTGTATGCTTTAATATGTGTGAATGTTCATGTGTGCAACGCTATTTAGCATTTGTGGTGCGTAAGTGTACATGAGATGCATGTGCGTATGTTAAGTTATATATAACTACATGAGCGTAAATGGGTTATGTAAGAGTATGTATGTGGCTATACGAATAAGTTAAAAGCATTAATGTGTGTTTAAACAAGTGTGCATGTTTATGTTTAAGCATATATGTGTATGTTTAAGTGCACGTGTGAATGTATGTGTATGTTTGAACCAATATAAAACAAAAAAAAAACCCTATGGATACGTTATTAAGGCGAACTCATATGTTAGTTCCATGTAATATGCTAGTTTTTAATCTTAGCTATCTCTTATAATAATTGTACATCAAATCAATGTTCTCGGATCACGTCAAACCCATTGTCACTTCCCAGAAAGCACCTATCGTGATTGTACGCTAGATTCAGTTACAAGAAGATGGATCATGTAGCCGCAATCCCATCTTAGATTTCCCAGCTATATGAATCACGAATGCAACACTTAATTAGGGCACTATACGTTGCAATCCCTCTGATGCTTTCTGGATGGCACTTTTTGTAACTGTCGCACTGATCGACCCGGTCCTAAAAAATGGGAGCTTTAGGTCCCCTCAGCCTAAAAGATGGGAGCATCGAGCTCTGTTCGTCGCGATCCCCCACAGACTTCTCAGGATATCACGCGTGATCCCGTGTCGCACGTGACCGTAAGCTCAAATCGTGAATGTATCGCGGAATTCAGTCACTGTAGTCATTTGGTGTGTTGCGATCATATCAAAGTCTTCCCAATTGCTCTGATATTAATTTTATATGATCTGACGTCAAAATTGGCACGATTTTCTACACAAACTAAGTCAAACACAACATTTCTTCAATAATTTAAACAACTCAAAAAGAATACAAAAATAAACACCTACTATTCGAGAGGTAGGCGCTCTCCCAATTCCTATAATTTGAGAGGTAGGAAATCACTCCAAAACTTAAACCTAAGACTCACAACTCAATCTTATGCATAACCCTAACCCTAGACATAATAAGCATATTTATCCCCAACAATAATAATAATAAAAGACTAAATCGGCCTTAAGCATATAAAAGACAAATTTTCCACTTAGGCTAAGCTCCCACGCAACACCTTGTCACCAATATCTCGCCGTTTCGGAGTTCTCTATGTTGTTTTTCAGCCGGAACAGCCGTTGAGTGACATCTATCCCCTTCGAAACATAGTCGACCACCTATATTATCCTTCCCTTACGATTCCATAATCACCTCCCCGCAAAATCCACTTCCTAAACACATTCTAGAAACCCTAAAACAGTATCATTTGGGACTTGTGAGTTATGGGCTCACTAGAATTCCGAACTAATAAGGTTTAAACAAAGATACAGGACATAGTGGCACGAACTACCTTTTTTGCAAGAGTTAAGAAGAGCATCAGCAAGACTGACATTGATTGTCTAAGAGAGCCACAAGTTTGATACCAGACACATGGTAACCCCAGATAAGATAATTTCAGGATTTTCAGACATAAAGTCTATCTTCTAAGTTGTCACTACTTAGAGAGATCAAATATGCCAAAAATGAGAAAATTTCGAGCTATTTCTGGAATGCTATATGGATTAATCTGGGTGTTAAGTTTTAGCTCAATTCACTAGTGAACCTATGGATAGATGATCAGACAGAAGTGGTGGACCACAATTTTGGAAATTCCCTTAGGTTCTTTGTGAGAAAGAATACAAGACAATTGGATTCGAGTCCTTCCAAAGAAAATGAAAAAGCATCTCCTGATCGAGGAGCGATGCAGTAGTTTCTCGCAATTTGTGGTTTGAAGGTCAAGCGATTCCTTGAAAATGTGCATATTACATTACCATATCAAAAAGATACATAAATTATATATGTAAGCATTTATGGTGTACAAAAAAGAGACCTATAATTTAAAAGTATAGATAAAAGTTCTCTATCGTTGTTTGCTTGCATCAAAACAGAAGAACCACCTAATACACGTTTAGCACAAAAAAGAGCGAGCCTATTACATTCTTGAGAAGTATGGAACAATAAAACTTAAAAGATAACAAAAAGTAAAATTTGGTGCATCGTATGATAGTTGGCACCAAATGTCCGGTTTCATAGATCTCAAAAAGCGCATGATGTTGATGTTGTCCCATTCGAAAATGATACCCTTGCAGTCCAACATCCACGGTTAGCAAATTTGTTGGAAGGATTTGATAGCCTGTAGCTCCACTTAAGCATTGTCCCAATGCTCAAACTAATGTATGGTAGCAATAATCCCAAAACCTCACTCATCACGAACAAACACCCGGCGTCGACATCTCCAAAAGGAAGAAGGGCAACATCCACATTCATTTTAAACGACCCTGGAAGGGGAGAGGTAGGGGTGTGTCGGCACAAAAAAAAAGAAGAGGTTGTTTGGCGGTCGTTCGTAAGAAGCTGTCGGCAGCCGGAATTGAAATCTCATCGCTCGCTTCGAAAAGACGTTTTAATTTACGTGTGTGTGTCTATATATATATATATATATATATATTTATAGAA